ATGGGGAGCATGGAGGGAGTCTACAGGGGAGAGGGAAAGAAAGCATGCATTTCTCATGCCTGCAGGGATACACAGGCATGGAGAGCTGCACTTTTTTCAGGAGGAATCGAGTTTAAAGGGCATTTTTAAACATGTGTTTTCTACCCCATAATCTGATTCTTCCTGATTCCTCTCACATTTTGACTAAACATTATTTAGGCATCCTCCTTTTTAACCCAATTTAACCTGGGTTATAATGCATGTGTAGAAGGGCCCTCAGTCAAGTAATCCCCCTAGTAGCTCTCAGAGTTCAGAAAAGTTACTTTTTTGGACAGCTCTCCAGATCCCGCAGCCAAGAAAGCAGCTTTTCCATACTGTGGACTATACTTTTTAAAACAGTAACTTAAAGCGCCTTTTCATAACAGATAAGCCAACATCAGATTAAGTGTTGTCACTTGTAATTCTCATGTAACTCTAACCATCCTCTGCTCTTATCCATAATATATGGTTTCCTGTGCCTTGAATGGTACAACAGGGAATCAATTTCCATGTTCTAAAATGGATTATTTGAACAAAAAATGACCAGCTGTGCATTCTATGTATTCATCTCTATATAGTAGAATAGACTGGCATATCATGGGGGTTGGACTGGATGGCCCTTGTGGTCTCTTCCATCTCTGTGATGGAAGAGTTCAGTTCCCTCCAAACTGAACTCAGGTTACCAGTCAGTAATACTTATTGGCTGCTTTTGCTACCTGCTTGTGAATACTCTCCATGCCTATGTCAGACCTCAGTGTGTTGTTACTGAGCTCTGTTTGGCATAGTGGGTTACAACCAGTGTTTGTCTGAGAATTACTGTGACATCATCTTCCAGGATAGGGAGGTCCGATGAAAGCCAAAGTTCCTGTTCCCCTTCTCTTTTGAAATTGGTATGTCAAAAGCTGAGGCATATAAATAGAGGTTCACAAGGAAGAAATTGCATGGGAGAAAGGTGGTATTTCCTTCATTAGCTATTTCAGTGGACCAGGAAAGTAGCTAAAATGTTGCTGTCCCACACACGTGTTAAATCTAGTGGATCTTGGGATCACACTCTGTTGGTCTTTCCTTCCCCTTTCCAAAACACAACATAAAATGGGATATTTCAGTATTGTTTTTGTCTTTGTTCCCCATGATGACAAATGTAGTGCACCATGATGCATCTAAGGATGTTGGACAGGCATGCCTTGCTTTGAGAGGCTTCACTTTAGAGCACTTTGCCAATGTGGCACTTTTCAGTTATATAGTACAGAGCCATTTTGTTCCACGTACTCGGTGTATTTGCAATATTTGTACACTTTATGTCTCACTGTCATATTATGGCAATTTTTATATATTATTCTTATTTCTGCATCTTTTGTTGGTGCCATTGAGTACTTAGATAATGATAGTCAAAATGTGCTTTTAGGTCTCTATATATACTGGTAAGTAAAACAAAACACTGATTTGCTGTGAGATGATACAGTGGCATGACTAGAGTTGGGTTCCAGGAACACAAGATAGATGCTCAAATTTTGGAAGGCTTTATTTATTATGCATCCACATTATCGGTCATATAAAATGGCAAACACCAAGGTTTGCTTTTTGGATTTTGCTCCAAATATTTACAGGCTGTGGTTGGGTTAATTCATGAATGGAGAACCTGTGGATATGGAGGGCTGATTGTCTAGAAACTTATTCACCATATTAGCAAAGTATGCCTTTTAAATCCATAATTCTTCCGGAGGCAAGCATAGGAATTGTTATCTGCATCAGACCTGCTAAAAGTTGTTGTTTTGTTTTCATGCAGTGTTCACTTGTCCTGCACACTTTCTTGTTTGTTTGCTTGCTTGCTTGCTTACCTCTCCATTCGGTGTTTGCTAGTTTGTTTATTTTATTTGTTTTAATTACATCCTTCAGCCAGTGAGCAAGAAAGAAATGAATAGAGGACCTAGATCAGCTCAAAAAGATACGTTATAAGATAGTCTCTGACCCCAGGCCTACAAAATAATAATAATAATAATAATAATAATAATAATAATAATAATAATACAACACTTTATTTATATCCCACCCTTCTCACCCCAAAGAGGACTCAGGGCAGATACCAGTACATATACACAGCAAACATTCAATGCCGCTTTGTATAGACAATACAAAGACAGACAGAACAGAAGGAGGTGGTTTGTTTCAACCCAGTGTGCAGCTGATTTGTTCCATGGAAGGTTGGGCTCGAGTCAGCCACAGGGGTGCTGTCGCTTCATCCGTTATGAGGAAGAGCCATTAGGACTTCCTCCTTTCTTTTGGTCACCCAGCATTTTCTGATCTTCTTTCTTTATGGTGTCGTAAAATACCTGCCCCGCTTTCAGCAGTACCTAATTTCTCTAACTACAGCTAAAGCTGTTCTCGAACTGCTTAGGTAAACAGTGAGCAGGCCTTGAACTTGAAACCTTTATGGTTTCTGGTGATTTACCAGCTGTGCTAAATCCCTTTCACCTCCCACAAAAGAAAAGAAAAGTGGGAGGTGAAAGGGATCAAACAAACGCAGGTGTCAACAACTTATTATATACTTCTTATGTCTATTCTGTGAAAGGGATAATGAATGAAAGCGCCCCAAGTGGGTCACTTCCTTCTCTGGCTGTTTCATGAGGCTGGGTTAGTCTTTTTCCTTTGTCATGGATACAGGTGTTATACTGTGGTGTTGTTGTTGTTGCCTCACATTTTTCCAGAGTAGGGAACAAAGTAACAATGTACAATATGATATAGTTAAAAACATATAAAAAGTAAACATTAAAGAGAAAATTAAACTAAATTAGTTGTTACAATGATTCCATTAAATTAAAATACAATAATAAAATTAATGAAAAGCTATTAAAAACAATTCAACACCACCTAGACCATTTCTGTTTTTAAAATCCTATCTGCATTTTAAAAAAAAGATTTTTCTCTATACCAATATTAGATATAGTTCAGAACAACATACTTTTTGTTATATCTGCAGTGCCTGAATATTTTATGGTAGTATATGAAGCCTATAATTTAATAATCTACTGGATGCTTTATTTATATCATATCTAACTTTGATTTCCTAGTGCCATTTTATGATGTGAGGGGTTTTACCCTGTAAATCTATGACAGCGGAAAATAGCAAATACATCTATCAAAATAGCTTCATAGATATTACACAGAAAAAAATCTGTGATCTGAGCTGAATAGTGATTGATTATTCTTATTAATGATACCAAAAAGAATATCAGCTTCCTTGTCAATGTCAACAGCAATTAAATAATCAAGAATATAAAACACTCCTTTAAATTATATTTGTTCTTGCTAGAAATACATGTTTACTCTCTGTAAATAATGTATGTTTCAAGTATGACTGTATAATCATCATTTTTTAAAAGTTCACTTAGTAAAAGGAATCTTTAAGTGTCTCAAATTGTTCAGCACATTATGTAGCAATAAAATGTATTGAATTTCATTCAAAATCTAGTTTTTAATCAGTCTTTTTGTTCAAAGAGCAATAGTACTTGCAAATCACATCTGTTAATATATCGTTCAAATTTATTCCATAATATAAAATAATATTTTGTGGGAATCTTTTCAGAAGTACCTAGATCTACAAAATACTTGAACATGTGTCAAGAATGTGAATTTGGAAATTCCCATTTGGGGTTCATTGGGGCTGATGAGCCAGTTTGTTTATGCAGCGTGATTAATGCTCACTTTTCTTCACATTTGTTATATGATAAAATGGATGTTGAGAGCTAGCATGATGTTGTGGTTTGAGCATTGGATTATGACTGGAGATCAGAATTTGAATCTCCATTCGGCTATGAAAATCCACTGGATGACCTTGAGCTAGTCACATTCTCTCAGCCTCACCAGAATGCAAAGGCAAGACTCCACTGAACAAATCTTGTCAATCTTGTTCACTTTATGGTTGAGATAAGGCAGAAGAGCTCTCCCAATTCCCATGGCTTGAGAAGGATGGGATTGCAAAAGTAGCCAATAGAGCCCAACCCTTGTCACAAAGAAATAGTTGCAAGTGTAAGAGGAAGATGTAAAAATGAATCTGAACCCAAATATAAAGAAGAATGCATTCTCCCTTGGCATACCCACAGTCTGAGATTGCTTCATTGCCTTGTCTAAGGGCTATTTCAGTCAGAAGTCAGTTTTCCTTCTTCTTCTCCCCATCCTTGTCAACACCATTGACTCAGCTTCAACCTTCCCATGCCTGGTGGCTGTCCTTGTAGCATAAGAGCAGGTGCTGTTTGTGTGGACTGAAGCCCAGTCTAGGTCAAGTATGTACAGACAGCACCATGTGTTTTCAATGAACATCTGTATTAATCTGGCTCCTGATACATTCAAGGCTCAAACACAGATGTACAGAGAGCCAAAGCCAGACCACTGTTATAAAAGAGGATTTTACTGAATATATGCATGGTTAATAGATACAACTGAGAGATTACAGCAAAGTAAAGCTTTGTGACATTCCTTCTTGCCACGAGGGCTTCCTTGACACTGGGAATGAGTCAGGATGCCTGGAGGAAAACTCAGATAGAGTTATGCAGCTGGGTTTCTTAAAGAATTGCCCACATTGCTCAACCAGGCACGTTTTGCTAGGAAATCACTTATTTCTGGAGTTCTTCAGTGCAGTACAATTTGTTTCACTGTATTCTCCAGGCAATAGTGTGGATATTTCCCACCCATAGCAACACTGTGGGTGGGTAGTTTACATTCTTGTCTTCTGTGTGTGTCTATTACTCAACTTTTGTTTTAGTTGAGCCAAAAAAAGTCCAAGATCCTAATGCTCCAAAAGGAAATACTAATAAAATTGATTCCCAGTGTTCTCTTCCTTTTTAATGGGATACAAAACCTGCCATTTGACATGTCCGCCTACCAAATGGTGGGATGACCTCAATCCTATAGTGTTGTCAGGAATCATAAAAGTAGTTGAGTGCCTGATCCATCCTTTATCTGTGTCTTCATTTAATTTAATGCAGGTATATCCAAGGAGCCTCATCTCCAAAGGACATGGTCATCATCGTGGATGTGTGAGTGCTTTCCTCTTTCGTTAACTAAATTCAATGACTTTTTTCATTTCTCTGCCCTAAGATTATGATGTATTGTATAGTTCTATCACCCAAGAAAATGGCCACCACACATCAGAGCCATGTGGGGGTCTCTGGGTATCCCATGCTTAAAATATCTACCTCAAAAACTAGGGAAGAATTCCCCACCATAAAATAATAGACAATGCATTTCCAAGAACTAAGTGGAGTATGTCTTCTTTCCTCTACAGGAGTGGCAGTGTTAGTGGCCTGACACTGAAGCTGATGAAGACATCGGTCTATGACATGCTGGACACACTGTCAGATGATGACTATGTAAATGTGGCCTCGGTGAGTGTGCACTCTGAGGTTATCACAAGAAACAAATGGTGGAGACAGAAAGCAAGATGTAGAAATGGGTTAGCCCATGGGATCAGCAGTATGTTGAGACATTTAATGGACTCCATAACATCTATAGGAGCAGTCTTGAGATCAAGCAGTAACTGGTTATAAATGTCCAATTTTCCTTTGTGCTGTCCCTCTATACCTCTTGCTCCTATATTACTTCAAGGCTCTCTTCACAGTATTTATATCAGTCTTGGGGTGGGGATATGAAACACTGAGGTTTGAGGGGAAATATATGTGAAATATGTGAACAGTTGTACAGATTTGCATAGTATTTAGGCTCTTTGAATACAATCAAAAACAGATTTTGGGTGTTCAGAATACAAAAGCTATTGTTTGTAATAAGAGAGTCCTAGACATCATGTCTCTAGCATAGTCTACAGCTGTGAAGAAAGGATTTGTCCTCTATTAGACATATATTTAGGAGTTTGTTTACTGCATGCTCTCTTTGTTATATATGTGTTGTTGTTTAGGAAAGGGGCAGTGTGAGTACAGTAGTTATTCGGTAAACTTTCTTTATTGATAACCAGTGTACTACAGTTGTTACGTAGCTACTCTCTACAGGGGACTAACCTCAGTGCTCTCCTGTGTTAAGTGGCAGTGCTTCATTTAACTGCTAAGGAACTGCATAACTGACAGTAGTTTGTAAAGCATTGTTATATGGCAAGGTTTGTGTTACAAAATCGATTATTATTATTATTATTATTATTATTATTATTATTATTCATACCTCGCTTTATTTCCCCAAAGTGGACTCAAAGCAGCTCCAAAGGGGACTCAAAGTGGCTCAAAGTCTAAGTCCTCTGAAGATGCCAGCCACAGATGCAGGCATAACATTAGGAGAGAATGCTGCTGGAATCTGACCACAGAGCCTGAAAACCTCACAGCAACCCACTAATTGCTATCTGATTCCTCACTGCAAAGGAAACAAACAGGATAGCAAATATGTACTCTTCCTTCTTCACTGCTTTCTCCTCTTTCTCTTTCTCACCCATTTCCTCCTCTTCTTGCCCCTCGGCTGCTTCTTTTCCCTCCTCCTTCTACTACTGCTCTGTTATCTCCTTCTTCTCAATCTCTCCCCCATCCTTCTCCAACTCCTTCTCCTCCTCCTTTTTTCTCCTTCTCCACTACCTCTTTTTCCTTTTTCTCCTTCTTTTCTCCTCTTTATCTATCTGCATCTCCTCTTCCTTTTGCTTCTTCTCCTCTACTATCTCCTCTTTCTTCTTTTCTCTTCCTCTTCCGTGTTATTACATCTCATTTTCCCCCAAAGCTAGGACTAAAGGCAGCTTATATATAAATACAAATACAGCATTAAAAAAAACTTTAAAGGGTTTACTATAAAATATGCTTAAAGTGTCAATAACTAATGAACATGATAAAACAGACAATAAAAAATAACATATAGGCTGCAGTCCTATGGGAAGAACTGTTCTCCAATTGAGCATTCCCATTTCAGATGCACTGATCTGTCCAAATGCCCTGCTTGGCTCTTTCTGCCAAATCATTGGTTGGGAGGGAGATTCCTGATAGTTTCCTCATGGATGCTGTGGGTTTCTCTCTTTTTCTTCCTGTGGGTTTTTTTTTCCTGTTTCTTTTGAAACAAAAGTCCCTTCCACTGCTCAGAAGGAGAGTGGAAGGAATTCATTTCAGTGTACCCAAATGGCTATAAATGTGCCCAGCTCTTCTGCTATTATGATATAGGCAAAATTGAGGGCTGAGAGTGAAGTGGATGAAGCAGATCCTGGTCCACTTCCTCTCCTGCATAGCCAAACCCTACCATACTATAGCCTTCAGCAACTATGTATTTTTATTTATTTATTTATTTACTATATTTATATCCCACCTTTCTCTACCCTGAAGGGGACTCAAGGCAGCTTACAGATAGGCAATAATTCAATGCCTTAACAACAATATACAATTAAAATAAATATTTGAATTAAAATTAAGATCCAGATTGAAATACTATCAGGTGACTGTGCTAGCCATATCTGAATCCTGGCAACACAAAGGGAACATAGCTACATTGTAATGCAAGCTAATGAGTTGTTTGCTATACTTTCCTATCAAAACAGTTACATCCATCAAATGTGCAATATGAACTTTTTTAATTTTCTGTATTTTAAGAAACTGTTTTTCCCAAACATCACATTTTCCAAACTAGGCCACATTATCTGGGATACATTAGATTATAAGTTTCAGTTGCCTGACACCACTGTAAGTTCATTACATAGCATGTGCTCATGTTCTGAATATCTAATATCTAGCTGCTTTGAATCTCCTTGTCGAGAGAAAAAGTGGGGAATTAACAACAACAACAACAACAACAACATAATCATTTAGCTGGATTTACCTCTCATCCAAGAACTAATAAGGAGGGATTTCTACAAGATGGGAGCAGCATCCTAGAAGACCCTGTCATGTGTCCTCACCAAATGTATCTGTGATGGTGGTGGAAGCAACGGAAAACCTTTCACTGAAAATCATGAAACCTAGGCAGGCTCGTATAAGGATATATGGTCTTTCAGAGATAGCATTGTATAGTGGTTTGAACATAAGGATACAACTCCAGGGTTTGAGTCCCCAGTTTGCCATGGAAACCGACTCAGTGATCTTGTACAAATCACACTTCTTCAGCCTTAGAGGAAGGGAAAGACAAATCACATTAAACAAATCTTGCCCTCTTATTGGTTTTCCTTAGGATTGTAATAAGTCAAAAGACACACAACAACAAAACCTAAACTGTATAATAATAATTAAATAAACACCATAAAAGATTGACCCTACTTTTATCATAGCAGCTTTTTTATTACCCATTTCCCCCGCTTGTTGGGAATGAATACTATGGTATTTTGGAATAGCTGAGCAACTGTGAGTCATACTCATGTCCGTGTATTTGCTCAAGATTTCTTCAGGTTAATCTCCGTGGTCTGTGAAGAGTCATAGGTAAGGATAATGCTGCCGGTGAGAGGCTGGTAAGGGTAAAATGACCAGTGCCTCAGGAGAGTAGAAGGGGTTTCTTGCAAGGTGAAGTACATAATGAAGAAAAGCTGTTCTCCTGGGCTTTCTGGGGAGCTTTTAATACCAGCCTCAAGAAGTGAACCTACTGCTTCTCTAGAAAATTAGTTCTGAAAGCATCTCAAACCAAAATGCCACATCAGCCCTGTGAAAACAAGTGTGCACTTTTATTTTGCTGTATTTATTTCTCTGTATAATGGGAGCAAAGAGGGAAATGCCTGTCAGAGGCATTGGCCTCTGCCTCGTGTAGCTCCTGCAGCCCAATTTACCATTTCTGTCACCTTTCCTTTTCCTGCGCTCTCGACCACTCTCTGCCTTTGATCGATTGCAAATGACAAAACACACCTGCGAGAAATAAATTACATCCTTCCACTGCCATTTCCCCCATGCCAGCTTTGACGGACTATTCTGCTTGCACGAGGTGTTCATTGTGGAGAAGGCTCAAAGTGGGGGAGGATCATGGTGAGAGAAGGGAAGGATTTGGTATAAATCCATTGAATCACAGATAGCTAGATAGCTATGGAGGCCATGTCTCTCCCCTGTTTTTAGTGTAAGATTAGCCTGTTGGCAGATTGCCTTTATTAGTAGGTGATAAGCGACGAAAGCAGCACTAAGCAAACTTTGATGCTATTAATGACACTGTATTTTGAGGATTTTTTAATATCTAAACATATGTGTGCTTTTCTCCAAAATGCTTGAAACAGCAGCTGGTTATTACATATACACTGCCATAGAATAGCATCAAAATGTACATTTCCATCCAAGGTTTCTAATAGCTCAAGAAATCCACACCATTTCTGTCACCCTTTCGCTTCTGTGATGGATCCATGGATTGTAATATACTCCTGATCCAGTGTTATCAGTGTGGTTAGATGCAAATAACTGGACTGGATCAATTTTGCTCACAATGAAACTTCTTAAGTAGCCATGCACTATACACATTGTAGATGTTTGTTCCATGTGATTGAATTCACAAAAGGAGAAGAACAGTGTCATGCACACCACCACCACCACCACCACCACCACCCCCCCCACCCACACACACACATACACTGATACATAGAGCATACTTAAATTTATTTTATTTATTTATTTATTTGGTGCATTTATTAACCGCCATTCTCAGCCCTTCAGGGCGACTCATGGCGGTGTACAGCATAAAAAGGCAATTTACAAAAAGGCAATTACAAACAGCATATTGGCAATACAACAATACAACAATTATAAAATTACACTAACTAATCCGCTTCGTCTCATAGTAGAATCGTAACCAATCTCGTATTCCTTGTTCCATTCCAGTCATCTTTACCACATTATTATAGCACTTAATTAAATGCCCTCTCGAACAGCCATGTCTTAAGGCTTTTTCGGAAAGGCCATAAGGGAGGACGCCTGCCTGATGTCTGTAGGGAGAGTGTTCCACAGCCGGGGGGCCACCACTGAGAAGGCCCTCTCTCTCGTCCCCGCCAAGCGTGCCTGTGAGGCAGGCGGGATCGAGAGAAGGGCCTCCCCAGACGATCTCAAGGTCCTCGTGGGCTCATAGGCCAAGATGCGGTCCGAAAGGTATTTTGGGCCGGAGCCGTTTAGGGCTTTGTAGGCCAACACCAGCACCTTAAATTGGGCCCGGTAGCAAATCGGCAGCCAGTGGAGCTGGGACAACAAGGGCGTTGTGTGCTCCCTGTATCCCGCTCCAGTTAGTAACATGGCTGCCGCGCGCTGAACCAGCTGAAGCTTCCGGGCCGTCTTCAAGGGCAGCCCCACGTAGAGAGCGTTGCAGTAGTCAAGTCGGGATGTGACCAGAGCGTGTACCACCGTGGCCAAGTCAGACTTCCCGAGATACGGGCGCAGCTGGCGCACGAGCCGAGCTGTGCAAATGCTCCCCTGGTCACCGCTGAAACCTGGGGATCCAGGCTCAACGATGAATCCAGGGT